CACTTGGTTTTTGGGTTACGAAAGAGCAAACATCATTCTATACTTCAATTTTAGAGATTTTTAGAAAATACAAATTAGATTTCTGCCTTTTTTTTATCAACAGGCAACAGTTAAAGGTATAAGAATAGTCTTCAATACACAATTGAATTCTTAATGCATGACTTAGATATCAATATTTTATACATATATATAAGCAGTAAAAATTTATAAAACATCATGAAATACCCAGCGAAGTGGGCGGGTAACGGCTAGTAATTAATATAACGGTACCAATTTAAAAACAAGTTTTATAATTACCATTGGCCCTATAGGTTTGTTATGTATAAAATTATATAAAAATTAACAATTATCTCGATAATTAGTACGGTTTGTAATTAATCCATTAACTGCCGGCTAAAAGTTACGTGATTCGCTCAACAACTCCAACCTTTTTCCTTGTAGGCGCACGTATGTGATGTACTGGAGGGAGGGGGAAGAAATAAGTAAATCCTTCTAAAGCATTGTTAACGTCCTTTTATTGCATTCCAAATCCTTCGGAATAATTGTATGGATAGCAGTGCACAGAAACGATCACACTTTAAAAAGACGTATATATACGTTCGGGGCAATTAACACTTTGGTTGAGGGAGACGTTTATACACGCCAGTGGCACACAAGAGGTGAAATTAATACTGTAGCTTTAGCTTCAATGTATAGTATAATTGAATTCAATGCATTGTTATTGTATGAGGTAGGGTGGTTTGCAATCCCATGTCACATTTTCCATCCCGGGATTTCGGGATTACATTATCCAAATCCCGGGATTAGGATTGGACTATTTATTAAAAATACTTACATATTAGCATAGTTGAAATTGCATAATAATACTTTAAATATAATTAAAAATTGATTTAATATTATTTTATTGAAACAAATAAAAAAATTAATTCATAATAAAAAAAATTAAAATAGTACATAATGAAATTTTTAAAAAAAGCATTTCTTCATTTTTTGTGTTTTTGTAAAAGAGCTTATAATAACACAGCTCCTCCAGCGTTTCATCGTTGGAACGGCTTCTTAATTTTGTTACAAATTGTCCTGCCGCACAAAATGCACGTGCGGATTCTTTACTAGTAGGCATTATCGTCATTAAATAGGAGTATGTTCATTTCAGGTAGTCACCACATCTCCCTCTATTTTCTAAAAAGAGACATTTCTTTTTGAATTTTTGATGACAGTGTCTCAAATCTAATAGACTGCATTGTGGCATTTACCTCTTTGATAACTTTATTTAATTCTTCTGCTACACTTAATGGGTTTTGTACACATAAATTGGTCCAGTTATTGAATCAGAATGTGAATTTATTTCAAGTGTTACCTCATTTGAAATTGAAGACCCAGTTGCATGATCTGTTAGTAATGCAATGGGATTTGAAGTGTCTCAAGTCTTCCAAGCAGGTCCGCTATTAATTAATGGCATTTAATTTTAGAAGGATCTGTGACAAAATCTATTCTTGTGATGTTGCTTATATTATTGTGTAAGCATTGCAGTGAGCCACTTAGGTGGCCGCGGTAGCCGAGTGGTCAAGGTATCGGATCGTGGCAGACATGTCATGAGTTCGAGCCACGTACCACTAAATACTCGTCGTATAGGGGAGCGATGCACGTTAAATCTGTCGAGAGCACAAACGTCTTCCCGTTGGTGTGGTAGTTAGGAAATTAGGTGCCAGCTCAGGTGTCGTCCTCGTCGATGCAGCATCGTTAAAAATTACGAGGTCCGTCGACAAAAGCTGAACAGTGCAACGTCAATATTTAGTCAGTCAGAGCCACTTAGATCTTTGCAACATTCTTCCATACTTTGTGCATATATTTTTTTACATATAGCACTTATAATTGAGCAAAAAAATTCAACGTACATATTTCATTAACAGAATATAATTTTTTGAAAAATTAAATGTTTAGAAAAAATTTTATGAGAAATTTTTTTAAAAATATAATTCAGACAAAAATTAAATCCCAGAATTAGTTATTTCAATCCCGGAATTTCCGAATTAGAAAAAAAAACCCACCGGGATTTCGGAATCCCGGGGCTGCAAACCCTAGTATGAAAATGAGGGGTTATAAATATTAAGTCGCAAATACTGTAACTTTCAAAAGCACTGACCTATTTTGGTATTGAAAATACTGCGTTACTAACAAAAATGAAGGATTTTTTTTGTTTATCTTACATTTTTCTAACTAAAAATTTAAATAAAGCAAATGTTTTTATATCATTTTAATGGTAATTTCATTTAGATTTTAAATCAGTTTACGGATATTAAAAATCTTTGAAAATTCTGCAGTTTTTCATCAAAAATCGCGACTAAACAAACACAAGCTGTCTGCAGGATTGAAATGAAGTAAAATTAACCAATTAGGTAATAGTTTGTGTTGGCCAATCAACTTGTTTGTATTTTTTAAAGGAAATTTAAAACAATGTTTTATTTCATGCTAAATCGTTTGGGTCGTTGTCTCGAAATACAGTTTAAATTCTAAGAAATATTGTTTTTTATTGAATGAATATTTAATTAAAAATATATTTCAAATTCGCATTACTTTTTTAGCATTCATTTTCATGACGTTGCTGCGATTTTGAAGGAATATTTCTTATCACTTTAATGATATTTTAATCTCATGAATACAAAATATTTTCCTTGGATATTAAAACTATTGTTTTAATCGTATTTATTTCAGTTATAACTTGATAAATGATTGCTTCAGTATGTTTTAAATACAACTCCCGGAAATAGCAAAATTTTTTTAGAGAATTTTAAGCTATTTAAATAGTTTAAAAAAATATCTAATATAAAATATTTTAATTTTCTGGTTTGTTCATAATGTTCACATTTAAGTAATACGATACCAGCAAAACACTTTTTTATTACTTAATAATTGGAATTAGGTTTCATTTGTGTTGTATATTGCTGCAACAATCCGTGATAAAACTTATTGTAAATTATTTATACCATTTAAATTTTGTCACACTTTTAAAACTATTTTTAAATTCCTCTCTAGTGGTTTTGTACTTCATAATATACTACACAAAGCAGTATATGGTCTTCTATTTGTTACTGTCATCCAATTTCCACAAGTAAATACATTTAAAACTTCTCAAATATATATTTTAATTTCAAAATTTAAAAGAAAAAATTACTGCATACTCTGTGGACCACAAAGGTGTTCGTATACTTTCAATTTCCTACAAAATTTAAAAATTAATGTATTAGAATTGTTATTTTTCAAGATATCTTCTACTTGTTAATGGAATGACATAATCAACTTTTTAAAAATAGTATAATTATTATTTTGAAAAATTAATAATCATAAGGCTACTGAAAAATTACGCCACAAAAGTTCTCGTACACTTAACAAAAATCTCTACACACAATAACGTTAAATATAATATTTCTTTCTTAATTTAGTACTTAGTAGGATATTTTTAGTGTTCACAACAACTTTTAAACGTCTTGGTATAAATTTGATCAGTTTCTTGTAATTTTTGCATCGGTTTTCCTCTAAGTTTCTATGATTATTGTTTTTACTTCACATTATGTGTTTATACGGCATGCTTTCTTTTTTTTTAAAATCAAATTCTCACCAAACATGTTCTACTGAGTTAAAGAAACTGATTAATGAGGTGTTTTCAGTATTTTGGAACAGCTATAGAGACACCAGGCGTACATTGAGAGCAGTGCGCTTGGCGTTATTGTCTTGTTAAAAAATGAGGTCGTCTCCAATATCCCAATTTTGGGTGTATAATTTAAAATTTATCTTTAAAATATTTAAATAGAGCTCATGATTCTCAATAGCATCAAAAAATACCAAACTACGTAATCCTGAAGCTGATTTACACCCCCACGCAAGGACAACTCCACCTCCATGCTTCAGCATGGAGGTGGAGGAGTTCTTGTTCCACATAAATTTCTCATTTTTTTTCATTTTCAAACTATTACATATTCCCATCAGAACAAAAATTGGTAAATTTTCTGTCATCCCAATCAATATGGTGTCAATTTATGTTTTCTGAAACTTAATCCCAAGAATCTAGTTTGATCAAAGAACCATGCTGGTGGAAGTGTTCTTGCATGGGGATGTAAATCTTTCTCAAAATTAGGTATTTTGGTATTTTTGGAGGGTTTAGTGAATCATGAGCTGTATTTAAATATTTTAAAGAGAAATTTTAAATTATCCACCCATAATTTGGATATTGGAGACGACTTCTTTTTTTTAAAAAGAATAATGACGCCAAGCGCACTGCTCTCAATGTACGTCTCTGGTGTCTCTATAACTGTCCCGAAATTCTGAACACACCTCCTTAGTCAAGTGTTTTAGACTAGTAGAACATATTTGGTCAGAATTTAATTTAAAAAAAAGAAAACATGACGCATAAACATATAATCTGAAGTAAAAACAATACTCTCAGAAGCATGGAGGAAACCCGATGCGGAAATTATATTAAAAAAACTAATTAAATCTATACCAAGGCGTTTAAAACTTGTTTTGGACCCTAAATGATATCCTACTACTAAATTAAGAAAGAAGTACAATATTTAAAGCTATGTTGAGATTTTTGTTAAGTCTACGAAGACTTTTGTGGCGTAATTTTCCAGTTGATTTTTGATTATAATTTTTGCAAAGAATAGTTATACTATTTTTAAAAATTGTCATTCCCTTAAGAACAAGTTGCAGATATCATAAGAAAAATTACAATTTCAATATATTAATTTTTATTACTGGAAATCATTAAATTTTATAGGAAATTGCAAGCGTACGAACATTTGTGGTCCACTGCATATTCATATGACAGAATCAAAATATTAAGTGACAAAATAGAAATAGGTTTTCTTGCAATTTTCATTTTCCTTTCTGTATAGTGTGTTGGTTTCTTTTATTTGCCTTTTACTATTCATTAATAAATTTAATTTAATTATTCTAATGGAATAGTTATATTAAAAAAGAAATCGTATCCTCAGAAATTAAGCCATCCCAGGTGGGATTCGAACCCACGACCTTTGGATTAGATGTCCAACGCGCTATCTGTGGCGCTACAAGAACACAACGAACAAGTCACCTTGCTATATATGCTATTGGGCTATTATTTTTGTATGTTCCTATTTATTCACTTTTTAATTTAATTAAGGAAGTAATATTCGGAAAAAACTGTATTAACATCAAGTTTCATTCACTACAGGTTTAAAAATGTATTTTAACTTGAATGTTTGAATAGAATGTATTTTATTAACGATTGAATATTTGAACAAGGTATATAAAGAAATATAAATACATATATAAGAAGAGAGTGAACTAATAGTAGGAATTGTGGAAAGTATCTATTATTCTGTCAAAAACTTCTTTTAATGTTCATAACACCCATGTAACTATATCCTCTTCAGATTTCACTTCACTGGTTTCTGCATATTCATTGTTACAATTATGCAATCAATGCATCTGCAATTGCATAGAAGACAATTTCTCAATTTCAACCCAGTCCCTGATATTAAAGGCCACGAAAAGGTAATTCTTCTATTGTCTTCATGCCTTTCAACGGCTTCAGTATCTTTTTTGAAGCCTCTTCATACATATATTTACCATTTTTCAACTCAACCGTGAACCCTACAGAAACGCCGGCTTTTGTGTTAAAAAACAAAGAGGGAAAGAATTATTTACCACCCGAATAAAAATGTCGTTAAAATCGATTTCCTTTACGGAAGGAGTACATTTATATTAAAATGAAAGTCAGTCGTTTTTTTTATTGTCTTTCCAATATTTTGGTGTTTTGTTTTCAGCTTTTTGAGTACTTGTCTATGTCTAGCGTACCATGACGAATTATGACTTTGCATTCTTTTCCTAATTTGTTGTAAATCTATAGTAGGTTTTGTGTTGAGGATGTTTTTTAGATACAAGGTGATTCTTTAGCAAACCGATACCTTTCTAGGGTGTGTAGGGGGTACCCATACGACTCGGAAAAACATAGGAATGCACTGTCGCAAATGCCATAGTTTCGATCTATGGTGCAGAGAAGCAAAGAAAAAGGAGAACGGAAACAGCAACACATAATTGGACCGAAAAACCTTTTATTGATAGGTTTTTATGCAACAATTGTTAGAAATTACGATCAGAAGTCATCTGGCTGGCCTGACAGCAGCCCTGTATGGAATTCCTTACCTTTTTGATGACCTTTTACCTGAAAGAACGGGTGTCTCGTACTCCAAACTTTGCATGTGACTAGAACTAAACTCCCTTGGAAAGGTTGTGTGATGTTAACACACCTGCACGAGTAACGTCTCAAGAACAACCGATGAGCGTCGTGCGCATAACAATCCGAAGATCCATACACGATCAGCACGTTCTTAGTTTGAATAAGAGTTCACATTATTTCATCACGAAAAGGATTGCAAATAAAGACTTCCAACAGGATCTGTTCACGAAACCTTCCATTCAAGACCCCCTACCTCCAGACTGCATGGAGGAATCTTCATGAATGTAAAAAATTCTAAACAGCGTAGCCTCAGGCCTTCCAGAAGACTATGGTCATAATTTAGAACACTTCTTGAAGTACAATCTTTCAATAAAATATTTGCTGACCCTAAAATATGCTGTTGTTTGTGTTCCATTTTTCTGATTTTTTTGCACCATAGCTCCCGCTACATTTGCGAATCTTCATTCCTACGTGATTCCGAAATGTCTTGGTATATTCCAATTGCCCTGCGAGTCTGTTGGCACGGTAGCAAATTACCCTGTATAAGGAAATGTGTAAGTGAGAAAAAAATATCCATCTTCTAATTATTGCTATTTCATCTTCTAAAATAGGTGAATGCAATTAGGATTATGAAGTGTAATAGTGAATTGGTCTGGTGATTATATACCGTGTTGGATTAGAAACAATGAGATAGTAGGTTTTTTTCGAACTTGGTACTAATTAATTATAAAAGAGGCTCTCTCATGATTTGACAGCAAGGAGTTTTCTTTTCCAAGGTATATTTTTTTTTTACATTCGAGGAGTCTCTGGAAACAGATAAAGTTTTAGAAAAACTCGCATAAAAAATCTTTTTTCCATAACAAAATTTAATTTTACGTGAAAGAGTGTGTTGGAAACTATTTTTCTACATAATTACCACCATTCCTTCAGAAATTTATCACATCAGGAAACCAACTTGCCTATACCGTCTTCAAAAAAAGTTACCGAAAGTGAAGAGTCATTGCTGAACAGAGCTTTGTTGAAATTCATCACAAAGCAATCTTATAGTAAGCCATCTGTGTTTGTACGAATTGTCCGATTTATTTTTTCAGCCAAACCATCATTGATAGCAGACGGCCGCCCATTCTGTGCTTTACAATGAACATTGGTGCGCCCACCATCGAGTTGTAGAATACACTTTCTCGCCTTTCCATCACTCTCAATATATTTTCACCATAAGTTCACGATGGATTTCAACTGGCTTAACATTCCCTGCGTTCAAATCACGAATTACAGAATTCACTTCACTGAGAATGAGACATTTCTAACGCTCATTAACACTTTTTAAAACAACACAGTCTACTTGTAGTTGCGTCAATGTACCGACAATTAACCAGAGACACCGTTGCACAAGGGCTGAACTTCAATATTACCGCTGCGAGAGATTGCGAAAGCGCGAAATGGTACATAGTTTTCGGGCATGCCTCGTACATCAATTAACTATTTACTACAAAACCACTTTACAGCTTTTCCTTCCTTTCATTCGAATCATTTCATCTCTTTGTGATTTGCTTACAAAACTCCTGGGATTTACTACTTCTTTCAAATAAACTTATACGAAAAAATAAATCGCTTATCACAGATGGCGCCACAGAGGTAGAAGAGAGTTGAAAAACCTAGATATATAGTCGTCTTAAGAGAATCCGAGAATGGAATACGCAGTAGGATTCAAAAGTTCCAGGACTGAGTCTATAACTTAAAAAAATAACCAATTAAACCACTGAAACACATCCAATATATAAGACCCTTGAATAACAACACACTTTTGCCATGGCTTGTAGAGGTCATCGAAACATTTCTGGAATCCATTTTCAGCCATGTCCTTTAATTCAGCCTGCGATGCACTTTTAACTTCATCTGCAGATTGGTCTTCGCTTAGCATACGGGGAACGGCATGTTGATACACCCTTTACAAGTAAGGATCCTCAGTCAGTAATTGACATGTGACCGAGGATATCCCAATTGATTCTTCTTTTTTTTTTGAAGCCTGTTCTTACGTACCTCCGCAGAAACCTTTTTGATGTTTTCAGTGGTGTGGGAAGTCTACAGAACACAAAAATTAATATCCATTACCTGCTCAATAAACGGAATTTCTTTCTATCTCGCCAACGGCTAAATACATTCACCAACAAAATACAACGCCATGGTGACCCACCGACCACGTGATTTGGAACAAATTTTTTTTAGAAAAGGGAAAGAGTGTTATCACCCAGAAATGTTATTATAGTCGCTTCTACTGTAAAGATTTTCCACGTTTTATGCTTAGTCCGGGAATTTTTGAATCTGACTAGTATTTAGATGTTTATGATATTGTGGGGTCACACCTCTGAGCTATCTATTAAAGTTTAGTGAATATTTATTGGTTAGGTTTGTTTGCAATTTCCCTCTTAATGCACCTTTTTTTCCTGGGATTCTTTGTGAGAAATTTTAATAAAATGTTTCTTTTTTTACTGTGCCTGCCGATACTTCTCCCGGCAACATTAATACGCATTACGGTTCCATTTACTGTTTTTTTATTTAATCAAAAAAAATGTAGATGTGTAAAATGCTATAACATTATTTTAACGACTATAACCTATAACTCAAAATTAATTGCATGAAATATGATTAGAGTAAAGCTAGAAAAATATAAAATTCATTTATCCTTTTTTAAGTATTAAAATTTAGTACTAGATACAACCTGGTTGTGTGGTAACATAAGACCTGTGCCTGAAGAGGTACTGGTGATACTTTTGCTTTCATCAACAGTTGTAATAAACGTGCTGTAGTGTTTATTGGTATTTGAGGGTTAGAAGGAAAATCATCCATAATCAGAACAATTCTAATTTATTATTCTCTCACTTAAATAATTGGCCTTGCGTAGAAAATGCGCAATTTTACTAAGAAAAGGAACAATTACAAGATAAAAAGAATACTTAACATTTAAATATAATTTAAATAACTTACTCTTGGACACTCTAGATGTCTACGGTCTAAATTACCGTAGATCCGTCCATGGTCTGTCTTCGTTCATATTTGAACATGCAGACCCGTGAAGCTCAGCATATTTTCCCTAAATAAGCAATCCTGCACTGTTAAAACGGTGTCACTCACTGATGTTGTTTGGGGATTATGAATATTTGGCGTCCTACATATGAAATCCAGACGTGAACTCGACTGCAAGCTAAACTTGAAATCGTCGGAAAAAATCACATAAGCCCAATGGGAGGATATGCACATTGCATATTCTCTAATTCAGGGTAGCCGCAGATGACAATGAGTTGCCCCGCAGAGCACATACGACAGGCCGGCGAACATATAGACTAATACATCCCAAATGTCTGAACACTGACTAGAGACTGTCGTACCCGTCGTTGCAGTTCTGATCAGACAAGTGGGATCCTGTGTTCCATTTACTATTTTTAAGACTCTTTTATAAGCTTCACTTGTATGTAACGGAATCTTTGAACTTAATTTTTACTCACTTTAAAAAGTCAGATTATTTAGAAATTTTGCACATTTGTCCAGGACTGATGACAATACAATAATTTAATAACTTTGTTCCATTGTCCTGATCAGGAGCATCAGGATTAACTATTTCCCATTTTCAGGTCCCAACCCTCATCTGGTGATTAATTTCAGATCCCATTTCCAGATTAGGTGACTAATTCCAGATATGATGACAAGAAAGAATAAGTTACAACTTAGTTTGCTTTACTATAAAAGGGTGTTTTTATTTTTGTGTTTTTATTTTTTAAAAACTATGATTTATTGACAGTTATTGCCAAATATAAGTCTTCGTTTGACATTGTAACTCGGGCGTAACGTGTACTATGTC